AAGAAAACCTTTAGTATTAAATAGAAAGTGTAACAAATATTTTTACAATGACGACATTTAATTGGAGAACTGTTCGCAGATGCTCTCCAGAAGTTTTGTTTCACCCTTTGATTAAAAACTTAAATCTAAGGAAAGGAATGAAGAAGAAGTGTTTGTGGAATAATTTTTAAATTATGAGCAAATGGTGATTGGCGAAAAGCAAAGAACATAAGAGATGCACCGATCAATGTCTTGGAAATAGCATGAAAAATTTATACTTTGTCTTGAAAAAGGCTCAAATTTGACAGGTTTGAATCACTAATGAAGGAGCGGCGATATACATCAATTTGTGAGATGAAGGCTTGAAAAAACATAGAAAATTTTCCTGAATAAATTATGATCATGGTGAGCATTTTCTTTCAAATATGCGCCAGACAAATTTACAGAATTGTAAACGGGATATTGCCAACGAATTTACACATTAATCTTTGAAAAAAATTGCTTATTCAGGTATTTCAAGAACAGTTGCCCTTTCAAAATTTAATTTTTTTTAATTCTAGAAGAGTTCCTAATGCCGACATGGCATAGATGTTGTATGGACAAGATTTCAGATGAATTTACCTATAACCACAATGTTCTGAAAAGCCATGGAAAACTATGCAGAAATGAATATATAAGCAAAAACATAGTGAAGATAAAGGTCTGGAGAAATCACTGACAAACGAACTCTTGCAGAGATTTTTAAACCCTGCACATGGCCAAAGGAGTGATCACAGCACTCACTATACCATTTCATTAGCCGGTACTCAGAGTTCAAGTATTACCACAACCTGTTCCATCCAGCTATTATTTGCAAAATACAAATAATAAAAAAAAGGAACTTGAGTTTATGCGAAGAATTAAACATCAATGTAGGATACAAGTGTTGTGAGAGTTAAGAGTGTGGGAAGAAAGGTGAATGGGGTTTGCAACTCACCCTCCGACATGTTGTAACCATTTAATGACAACAATTACAAAATTTCTCAAACTATCAATGGAAACATACGGTTGAGCAACTGTGCTTCTGAAAATGTAATTCTATGTTTTCATTCGTAATTTGGATTTTAGCAAAACAACTGCTCAAAAGCCAAAAATGCAATGCGTGGCATAGAAAAAACAGATTAAAAGCTTGAATGGTTTAGATTAAGTTTGATTTATGCCCTACTATTGTTTATAAAAACTAATGCGGAGTCCTTTCTGTGAGCTTTTGACAACAACTAGGCGGCTGCACACATACTTTCTATCATTATGGTGTAATAGCCTACACAATATATTAATATGTTAGTAGCGTGAGAAAGTGAAAAGGCAAGGAAGAGTTTGTTGTATGCCATGGCTGACAAAAACAGCTTTCTAGAATATGTCCAATGCTTTTTCGTTTCTATATTACACTGAAACAAGAAAAAAATATCAGAAAAAACCACTTCAGTCGATCAGTATAATCCTTGCATCATTACTAAAGCTAAGTGTTAAAAAGTATACGTCCTGACTTGTAGTAGTTTTTCCCTTTTTCTCAATCTTCAAGTTTTTCATTTGAAATTATCTGATTGATAATTTCATTAAAGTAAAAAATTTATAAAATATTAATAAAACAACATCATAAAATAGCAAAGAGATAATGTAGCATTATGTGACTGACAAAGTGTATAATGAAGAAAATATAAAAATAAAATACAATTGCTTCTTTCTTTATTAGGCAATTTAAGTAGAGGGGAGCAATACACTCACCCTTCAACCTATGGTGTGATGTGGAGTACGCTCAATCTACAAAGACTAACGTACAGCATCACTGGAATACGAGTTTACTAGCATTCACATTTGTGAAGTACATTTTTCCGTTTGAGAATCAAGATATGAAGATTAATAGAAATTCCAAATATAAAAATGCCACATTAAGAACACAAAAGCTATAAAAAATATGAATAATAAACTTAAATTATAATAAGCCATATGAAGCACTAATACAAAAATACCACTAATATGCTACATAAAATAAACCGATTTTCATTTGTTTCAATTGTGTCTGGTAGAAATTTGATAAAGCATATAGAAAAGTTTTCATAATTAAAATATGAATTTTTCATAAAAACTTCTGCGGCCTTACTGAATCATTCCATAATATTCTGGAAAAAACTGAAATCAGAAAATAATTTCTGGGCGAAGAGTAATCAACGTAGCGTAAAGACAATGAAAAAACTAAACTTAAACTCAAGTCCAAACATGCTTGAAGTTCGGAAAATTTGGACACCAACGGTCATATATCCAGGACCTTCTCTAAGTTTGATCAACAAAAGTTTCCATTCTATTGCCTAATTCATGAAACTGTCAATAATTGGCAATTCCTCTCCTGCTTAAGGAACTGGTTTTTGTTTATGTGTAAAAAATAGGAGTGAATAAATCATGTCAAAAATATAAAAAATAAAAAAAAACAAAAAAACAAAACATTTTAGTTCCACACCCAGCAGACCCACAAAAAGACCTTCATCTTGGGGATGATTTTTGTTTTATTAATAATTCACCTAAAGACATCAATAAAGAATTTTTCTAATAGTTCTTTTTGGCCAATATGTGGACATCTTCAAATTTTTATGGGGTTATTGAAAATAGTAATTGACTGGAAGACACTACAGAGAATTTCAATCTATTTGTCAAATTGCTGACACAAACAAATTGAAATTGATATTAAACGTCAGACAAATTGAAAAAATTTGTTTAAAAGTTTTTATACGATAAGAGAACCGCCTCGCTCTTTGTCCAACACTAATCTTCGAAGATGTATTGCAAATAAATATCTCTTCCC